AAGATCCCGAGAGGAGAATGGAAGAGAAGGAATTGTGGCGTGGCCATCCCCCCAGGGAGTGATTTCTTGCTTTCTTTCTCTGTCTCTCTCCATCTTTCTGGCAAGTGCACACGCCCTATAGCAAAAACCTCTCAAAAACAAAACAAAACTCTTCTAGAAACTTAAATACAGATATCAAAATAGTACAGAGTGACTCAGCTATGATCTTCAGGTGACCAGATAATAAGGCTTATGGGGTAGTAATTGACCATCTTTGAAGTTTTGGAGACCTAAAAAAACTAAAATCTGGGGGCCAGCAGGTGGTGTGGTCGTTAAGGTGCTGGATCCCACATGACCAGCTCCACAGTTTAAGTCCCAAACCTGGTGGCTTATAAATCACATTGGGTTTGTGTATGTGCCCAAAATCCTGAGAGAATGGAGAATGGATTGTGGAGTGGCTGTTCCCCTCTAGGGGATTATTTCTCACTTTCCCTCTATCTGTGTCTCTCCAGAATCACATGTGCCCTATAGCAAAAATCTTACAAAAAAAAAAAAAAGTTCAAATTGCAAGAGCCAGCAGTGTGGTGACTAAGGCAACTGGACCACACATGGCCACTGGCATGATTTGAGTCCCAGACCCAGCACTTGAAAAACATGCCCAGCATGGTGTGCCTGTAGGCTCAGAATCCAGAGAGGGTGGGAATTGCAGTGTGGCCTTCCCACACACACACCCCCACCACTCCCTTTTTCTGTGCCTGTCTCTGGTGAGCATATATGCCCTATAGCAATTTTTTTTTAATTCAAATTATTTTCTACTTTCTATCTACTGAATCCTAATACCTTTGCCTTCTTTCAAGGAAGCTCAGGAATTTCTCTCTCCAATTTATTCTTATGATACTAAGAACTGCAGCTGTAGAGTGCAGAATGGTCCTATTGTCTGGGAATTTCTGTTTTAAAATTTCTGGAATACAAACTCCGAGGGAAGAGACTGAATTATTCATCTCGCCAGAATCGGACACCTGTTTAGGTAATTAAATGCTAAGAAAGTTTTGCTATTAGACTATCCTCCATCATCCTAAAAGACTGTTCTTCATCCAGATTATTCAAGGTCAGGAATACATCCACAAATGTTATCTAGTACAAAATCTAAATATAGCTTTGTGGTTTCCTTTTTTTTTTTTTTCTTTAAACTAAGAGCATTAGTGTTTGTATGAGCATGTATGTGTGTGTGTAATTCTGCCATTTCTAATAATGTAAAGGAAAGTGAATAATTTGAATAAAAATGTCTTGTGGTTAAAAGGGGACCGGACAGTCAATCATGTACTGTGGCGTAATAGGCCATACACGTTATAATTTTAGGGTAAGGAAGATGTAGGGTTAAATGATTGAACTCGCCCTTTAGGATGAAGAGGAAAGGTTGGGCAGGCAGGTGGCATGTAGTCATGGCTGTGCGGTCCAATTCCTGGACCTGGTGGCTTGCTTTCTCACTTTCCCTCTCTCTTTCTGTCTCCCTCTGGTCAGATTAAAAATAAGAATGATAATGAATAAAATTAAATAATTCCTTTTTTTAAAAAGTGAAGAGAAGGGTAACCTAGAGCGTGTAGGAGTCCATCCGGCCGCCGCCCTTTTATCTTCCCAGCATCATGTGGGCACATAGTCCGAAAAACTGTTTACCTCCAATGTGGATGTAGGCGAGCCGTATTTTACTTGCCCACTCTGACAAGACTGGGAGGGTCGCTTCCGCCGACGGGAACCCCAGGACCTCTGCGTCCCGCGGGGCCCGGGTCACATTCCAGCGCCCGCC